CTGTGGCCAGTTTCTCTGGGGAGAAAGAGGCCAGCAGCGGCCAGTTTCTCCGAGCAGAAAAAGGCCCTGAGCGCCTTTTTCCATAGCCTTTTATTGGGTTGTAATACACAGGAATACAGGGCGGCAAGGATCAAACAATAGATAACATTTCAAAGAGGTCTGAGGGTTTCAGTCTGAGTGAGTGTCTGTCAGGAAGAGAGTTGCAGAAACTTGGGAGACATACTCATTTCCTCTTGGACCTTTATCATATGAATGAAAGTACTCTTAGCAGAGCAGATTTCACAGGTTTATCAGCAAGTCTTTCTGGTGCCAGATTATTCCCCAGGGCAGGCTCTAGCAAGGCAAGGAGCTGTACCTCTCCCCATCAGGTATTCAGGCTTAAGGGGATTAGAGCCAGGAAGCGCATCTCCCAGGGGACATGGGGACTCAGGCTTTGACAAAGCCAGGGGACGAGAGTCCACTGCTCTCTGTTGCAGCCCCCTTCAAGTCCTTCCATGAAGGCCTCCCAGGTGATCAAGTCTGGCTTAGGTTGCCCCCCCGCTGTGAGGGGTCTTACCCGTCATTGACTTCTGACCAAGCTCTGGGGGCAGGGAGAGGAACTGAGGCAGCGTTTGCTACCAGAGACAGGATTTGTCTCCTGCGGCTGGCATTCCATAGGTCGTCTCTGGCCCTTAGCCACAAGGGGGTAGAGATACAATTCCTAAAATCAGGCAGAGCAGTCTACAACACACAAGCATTATACACAAAGGAAAATCTTGACAGACATCAAACCTTTTTCTGGAGTCTGCCCCTGCACAACACCTCATACATTGCCATGAGGTCAATCCCAACATTTTAAGTACCTGCCCAGCACCATACTTGGTTACTACAATGTTATTGACCATATTCCCTATACTGTGCTTTACAACCCTGTGACTATTTTGTAACTACCAATTTGTACTTCTCAACCCTGTCCTCTTTTTCACTCAGCCCCTTGACCCCCTCCCATCTTGCAACCATCAGTGTACTCTGTATCTATGAGTCTGTTTCTATTCTGTTTGTTCTTTTGCTCTTTAGAGTCTATATGAGTGAAATCATATGGTATTTTCCTTCTGTTTATAAAGTCTATTAATTTCCAAAGATTTCTTGTTTATATATATTTTTAAATGAGCATTCTTTTTTCATAAAGATTTTATTTATTTATTTTCAGAGAGCGGGGAAGGAAAGGGGGAAGAGAGGGAAACACCAGTGTGTCATTGCCTTTCACACGCCCCCTCCTGGGGACCTGGCCCGCAACCCAGGCACGTGCCCTGACGGGGAATTGAACTGCAACCCCTTGATTCGCAGGCCTGCACTCAATCCACTGAGCTACACCAGCCAGGATTAAGTTTTTTAATAAATAAAGGAATAAAGAAACATAATCAGCCCCTGATGATGCACCATTGGCTTGCAGAGGCCTGGCATACTGTACTTGTGTGAGGTACCCAGGTAGACTGGCATCCCTATGGGCAGGGACTTTCCTTTTCTTGTCAGCCTGCAGCCTGCCCAAGCCCGAGTCTGTGCAGGTGGTGTGGTCTGCCTGACTGCATGATCGGCAGCCAACTCCTTGCCCATCTACCTGTGATGCAGTAAGTCAAGAGGCCTGGCTCTGGCCTGTGTATCTCAGTTGGTTGGAGCATCGCCCCATACACTGAAAAGTTGTGGGTTCATTTCCCAGTCAGGGCACATACCCAGGCTGTGTGTTCAATCTCCAGTCAGGGAGCCTATGAGAGGCAACTGATAGATGTTTTTCTATTACATCAATGATTCCAAAGCAATGAAAAAAAATATATATGTTCCCAGGTGAGAATTTAAAAAAAGTCAAGGGGCCTGCAAAGGCCATCTGAGCTTTGGACCAGGCCCTCCATTGTTGGTATTATGGCCACTGACCCACCCTGAATGTCAGGCTGGCTGGTGAACACATCAAGAACTAATCCTGAAGAAGCTCACAAACCTTCTACACGTGTATGATCTTACAGACTTTCTGCCCTTCAACCTAGAGTATACCTGTGTCTAGACTACCACAGTCTCTCCAGGAGCCCCAGAGGGACTGAGCTGGAGTCACAGCAGAATCTGTAGACTAGGGATACAGTCCTGGCTCTGAAATATCTACCATTCAATTTCTCAGTGTTCCTGTTCATTGATCATAGAGATGGGGCAACTCAGTGAATGACCTGTTTTTCCTAGAAATCCCCTGCTTTGGCCACTGCTCCTCTGAAGGTCCAGGAAGATCAGAGAAGACTACAGAAGACTTTGGGGCCTCCAGTGTGCCCCAGCCTCCGTCACACACACACTCTCCTTCCCCAGATGCTGCTCACATGCCTGTCCCAGAAGAGGCCACATAGAAACTGCAGGGATGGCCTGGGAAATGGACTGTCACACTTCAAGACCAAAAAGCCTCTATCTCTTTCTCCAGTTGTTTTTTTCCCTCTGGTCTTCCTCCAAAGATCCTAAACCTGAGAGGCAGCGTGACCCACAAAAAGAGCAAGGGCTTGGAGACGGCACAGCTTCCCCACTTTAGAGCTGTGAGACCTTCAGAAAGTAAGTACTCCTTTCAGCCTCAGTTTTCTCATCCGTCAAAAGGGAACAAAAAAATCTACCTTAGGAATTACTATGAGGATTACATAATAAATGGTGGCTGTTAATTCCCAGGGCATGGTTGCTGAGCCGTACTTCCCTCTGGTGCTCTGTACGTAGGGTAACTACACATCCCAATTTGCCCAAGACAGACCCAACCGATGCCTATTGTCCTGGCAAATTTATTGTCCCTTTTCATCCTCAGAAGGGCCCACTTTGGACAACAAAATACATGGTCAGCCTACCTGTACCTCTCTACTCCCAACTCAAGTCTGGCCTGTGTGAACAGCATCACCCATTTCTATTCTCCCCTCTTAGAGGCCATATTTTAGTTTGTAGTTAGTACAATTTTTATACTCTTCTTTCTGAGTCTCAGGTTCTTATTTTTTTTTAGTGGAGATAGCAATGCCTATTTTGAAGAACTGTTAGGAGAGTGGTATGGAAAGCTCACGTCTGGTACAGGCCTGGTGCCAGATAAACATGAGTTCCCTTCTATGGCCTTCTCTCCCGGGTTCGCATCATGCCAACTTCTCCCCAGGAGAGGAGCTCCAGAATTCCATTTTCACCCTGCCAAGGGTACAATTTTTATTTTTTAAAGATTTTACTTACTCATTTCTAGAGAGGGGGGAGGAAGGGAGAAAGAGAAAAGAAACATTGATGTGTGAGAAAAACATCTCAATCAGTTGTCTCTCACACACCCCAACCAGGAACCTGGCCCACAACTCAGGCATGTGCCCTGACCAGAAATTGAACTGGTGACAGGCCACTGCCCAATCTACTGAGGCACAAGTACAATTTTTAGAAGTTCCAAGGGGACATGAGCTCCTAAGCCATGATTTCTCCAGAGAACAAGAAATGATTTTCACCTCACTCTCAGTGTGAACCCCTCAGCCTTCACCTACTTTGCCCAAGCAAACAAAGGTAACTTTGAACTCTACACGCTCTTCCAGGAATCCAGAAAGCCAAAAGGGAGTCTGCAGGGCCTTCAATCCCCAGGGACTTGCTATGTGGGCTAACAGGCCAAAGGTAACCACATACTCTCAGCAGATAAAATCACCATGAGACCAGGTCATTGCAGCAAGGGGATGACGTTCCCAGATTACACCTGGATTATCAGCATGTCATCCAAAGGCCCTGAAGCTCAAACGTACCATCTGCCTCTTGCCCTCACACTTTCCTACTCCCAACATTCCTTTGCTATCAGACAGCAGTTCTGGCCGGATCCTGCCCCTTGCCTTGCCTTAGGTGGTACCAAACCTGCCTTGAATATTGTAGAATATTTGGTTCCACCAGGAAGGTCACAGGATAAACAACCTGTCAGTCACTAGGATCTGACTCCAGGGTTCTTTGTACAGAGGTAGTTGTATGACATTTCAGATTTTTGTGCTTCCCTAGAAAATATGTATGAAGGAAGCTTCAGGAAGAAAAAGGCAGTGAAGCAGCCACTAAATTGGGACTAAAAAACCAGGTATCTGGTTTTAGTGGTCGTGGTAGTGGTTAACATATGTTGTGTGTGGTAGTAGTGGTAGGTGTTGTGTGTGGTGGTGGTGGTTGTGTTGTGGTGCTGGTACTTACTGGGCTGTGTCATATGTGGTGGTGGTATGTGGCGGTGGTGTGTAGTATATGGCACGTTACGTGTGCTGTGTGGTGGTGGCATGTGTGGTTATGTGGTGGTGGTGGCAGTGGTGTGTGTGGTGGTGGGGTGGTGGTGTGTATGGTAATAGTGTGTGGTAATTGTGTGTGATGCTGGCGCTGTGTGTGGCATGTGGTACTACTGAGTGTGTGCTGGTGGTGGTATATGGTATGTGTTGATGGTGTGTGGTGTGTGGTGTTAGGGTGTTTCAGGAGGTAAATGCCAGTGAATTGGGGGACCTAGTTCTGGGGCAGCAGCAACCTCTTTGGTAGCTGTAGGGCAGAAAGAGAAAGGGTGACTGACCCTGGTATTCCCATGTATAAAATGAAATTGAATATCTTAGTTGAGCCTATCATGATGCTGCTGAGTTAGGAGGGCAAAATAAGATCAAGAAAACCCTGCAGTCCACAGAATGCATCACACATATATAACCCGAATGTAATCTGGGGCTCCCTGTGGCTCAATACTGTACAGATCGTGTGAAAGAACCACACACTGGTAAAGGAACCTAAAAGGTTTTTAAAAGATTTTTAATTTTTAAAAAGATTTTTTTTTTTTTAGAGCGGAAGGGAGGGAGAATGAGAGGGGGAGAAACAACAATGTGCAGTTGCCTCTTGCACGCCCCCTACTGGGGACCTGGCCCTCAACCCAGGCACGTGACCAGACTGGGAATTGAACCAGTGACCCCTTACTTTGCAGGTCCACACTCAATCCACTGAGCCACACCAGCCAGGGTGATGTTTTAAATTTATTTATTTTAATTAATTATTTTCTGTGTCCCCCCATTCACAATACAGACCAGGCAAAGGGCCTGCGCTGAGGTGTTCATGGGGTGGGTTCACTCTACCTCCTCCTCCTCCTGTACAGGCAGTGTAAGAACACAGACTGTGGTAAGCACCAGGAGGCCTAATTTTTATTTATTTTTAGAGAGAGGGAGAGGAACATCAATGGGTGGTTGCCTCTCATGTGCCCCCCGCCCCACCAACCGGGGGCCGGGCCTACGACCCAGGCATGTGTCATGACTGGGAATCGAACCAGTGACCCTTTGGTTTCCAGGCCGGCACTCAATCCACTCAACCACACCAGCCAGGGCAGGAACCCCAATCTTTACTTGGGTCTCTTGAACAACATCAAACTCTGTCCAACTCATAATTCTCAGCAACATTCATTGAAAATCCTTTTACCCCCATCCCCATCTTCTCGTACCTCTTACCAGCTCTGAGACGCTACAAGCCCATCCCAGCTGTGGCCCGACTCCGGGCCACCTACATGGCTCTGCTGCCACCCCCTGCATGCAGGCCCCTCTCAGCACTCTAGGTTAATGGAGTCTCTTCTCCTAGTTTTAGTTTCCCTCTCCCTTAACCCATTACCTGATTTGCCACAGCAAAGACGACTCTGGGACCAATCCCGAAGCAGGACTCCTTTCCTCTTTCTTCCCATGTACTCAGTTGTGTACCTCAGTTGGCCTTTTCTAATTCTACACCACAAAATGCCCAAGAACCATGAAGGCAGACTGAACAATCCTGAGAGAAAAAACCGGTAAGCAAAGCATCGCATTTTTTAGAGGGTGGCACTGGGGACTTAATCATCTTGCCCAACACACACACAACTGTCATAAAGTTCCTCACTCCTCCACTGTCCACACGGACTGGTCTTACATCATGCTGATTTTCTTTCACATCGTCACTCAGTTTTGCACTCCCTCCCTCCCTCTCCAGACCCACAGATGTGGCCAAGGCCTCGGCACAGCCTGGCCTCCTGGTTTAGCGTCTGGCTTTCTCGCTGACTCCAGCTTCTCAATTTTCCAACCTGTCCCACAAACCTCACAGCTGACTTTTACCACACTCGGCAGGCACCATGCTTCCCTAGTCCATGGAGTCCAAGTTTGCACTTGGGAACCTACATCAAGCACGGGGCAGCACCTCTGCACTCTTCCTATCTGCTTCGGCTGCACTGGGCCTCCAGGAAGCACCCACCTGAGTTCGGACACCTCCAAAAGGCCACCCTAATTCCCTTTCGATTCTGAACCACAGCACTTAAAAGTTTGTACCATACAATCTCACTTCCGGTTTTCTCTTTTGATTATTTTAAAACTTTGAGTTTTCTTCCCATAAGCCATAAGCTGAGTTCAGGCACTTCAAAGGCATTGTAAGAAGCATGCAGAGGTCCTCAAAGCCATCTTCCTCTATTAGCTCACGACAAGAAAAACAGACCTGTGTCCACTCCAGGGCCTTAATGGAAATCTCCAGGTCTCCCTGCCGAGTCACTTTTAAGAACTTCTGAGTAACAGGGAAGAAGGAGCCCTTTTTTAAAAAGCATGTATTCAACTGCTTTTGCAGTAGATAATTTATTCAGCTGGCTCAAAACTCAAAATGAAGTCAGCCAGTTCCCCTGCTGAGTGGCAAACATTGTCTGGTTTCTTGTTTATTTTTCAATAGGTATCTGATGCATGTATAAGCCAAGATGAACATATTCTTCTTTTCTCACTTTTTAAATACACAGCTAGTATGCAATACTCATTTTCTGCATCTTACATTTTCTTTTAAGCAATGTATTTTAAACATCCTCCATACAAGCTTCCCCACACTTTGCCTTGTGCCCATGTAGAGTTACATGTAGGAATGACCCTAATTTATTTAAGCAATCTCCAGCTGTTAGTGAGGGTGTCTCCAGTCTTTTACTACCATTGACAATGCTGCAGTGAATAGCCTGGCTGAAATATGAGGTCTGTCTGGAAAAAGTCCAGTCATTGCAGTCATTGTTTATAATGAGAATGTTGCACGACATCAATGTAATCTGAGAGCCAAGGAGAGGAGACTGGAATGTACATGCATGAACAATGATGACTTCACTGTTTTAGGCACTGAGGATGGTAGATGCTGTTGAGTGAGCATGTGCACTGTGTGGCCGTCACATTCAAAACGACTGAGCAAGTACAGCAACAAATCTGCACCAAATTTTGTGCTAAGCTTGAACATTCCTCTGCAGAAACTATTCGGATGATTCAGAAGGCCGAAGCTATGAGCAACTGGTGATTGGCAGCTTCATAATGACAATGTGTCCTCTCATGCATCACATCTTGTCGAGTTTTTTTTGAGAAACATCAAAAACCCAGATGACTCAGCTCCCCTACAGCCCAGATTTGGTGCTCTGTGACTTCTGGCTTTTCCCTAAACTAAAATCACCTGAAAGGGAAGAGATTTCAGACCATCGATAAAATTCAGGAAAATACGTCAGGACAGCTGACTGGGAGAACTGTGTGAGCTCCCAAGGTGCCTGCTTTGAAGGGGACTGAGGCATCCTCATCCTATGTACAATGTTTCTTGTATCTTTTATCTTCTTCAATAAATGTCTCTATTTTCCATAGTTCATGGCTGGCTACATTCTGGATGGACCTCATATAACGTCATATATGTTGAGTGTCTCTGTGGGACAAATCCTAGAATTTCTAGGTAAGGTAATATGTGATTTTTGGAAGATATTTTTAGATTGCTCCCTAAAGAGCAAAATGTGAAGGTGCCCATTTTCCACATTCGTGCTAATAGGTGAAACTTATTTCAGTGTAATTTGATTTACACTGCTCTCCTTATGAATGTAGTTCAGTAGCTTTTTATAGTCAAGGGTGTGTTGTGTGTCAGTATGTACTGTTTTTATCCTTTACTCACTTTTCTAATCAATGTACAGGAGTTCTTTATGTATTAGGGGATTAGATCTTTGTTCTCTGAACTACAGATAATTTCCCCACTTTGTTTGTCTTTTGACCTTGCCTTTGGGCTACTGCTAGGCAAAATTATTTTTCTATAGTCAAATTTACCAGCCTTTGCTTTTATGGCTCCTAGGTTACGTGTGTCTTGCTCAGAAAAGAACAGGACTGACCACCCTCCCCCCGATTCCCTGATACACCTTTTAAAATTTTGTCAGTATAAGAAGCTTGGAACGACTTACCAGGTTTAGTGAGGAAGAGGGCAACTCTTCCCCTCCAGCAGATCCCAGTTTTACGGGGACACACAGTAAACTCACTACTGCAATACTGTGTTATAATCAATGAAAAGGGGCACAATAGGTACCGGCCTGCGTTGGCCAGAGAAGGCTTTCCAGAGGAGGTGGCCCCCTAGGCACACCGGAGGCATGGGGAGGAGTTAGCCAGATGAGGAATGACCTTCCAGTAAAAGTAGCAGCGTGTGCAAAGGCAAGAAGCAACAAGACTCTGTCAAGGTTGTCCAGTTTGGCAAATGGACAGAGAGCCCTGCAGGGTAGGTGTGTGGTAAGAGGTGGAGCTAGAAAGGAAGGCAAGGGCCATATAACAGAGGGCCAAGTATATCCTGCCCAGGAGCCAGGGCCTTACCCTGAGGCAGTGGGGAAGCGCCAGAGGGCCACATCGGCCTGTGGAGGAAGAACTGACAGTTCGGTGTGGAGGCTACGCCCTGGCTCGGAGGTTTCTTGCCAACAGCAGCAGTCCCAGCAGCCTATAGGCTCCAGAGGCCAAACAAAAGTACAAATTTCAGACCCAAATGTTTTATCCTGTCAAACTCCCAGAATTCTACAAAAATCACCAGGAAAGCCTGGCCCAGTGGCTCAGCTGGTTGGACCACCATCCCATACACCAAAAGGTTGCAGATTCGGTCTCCAGTCAGGGCACATACCCGGGTTGTAGGTTTGATCCCCAGTCTCTCTAAAATCAAATAAAACTATTCTCAGGTGAGAATTAGAAGAAGACAATCAGCAGGGAAGCTAGCATCTTCTCTAAGAAAGATTTCTGCCCAATGACAACTTCAAGAGCTTTACCTCAGAAGGGAAGCCGTGTTTACCTTTTCAATCTCAGCGCCCCTCCAGCAGCCAGGTTAATGCAACTCAGGCTCTAGGCATAGCTCAGAGAACTGGGCCCTTCAGCTCTAGCCAAAGACCTAGAGCTGCAAAGATCACTGTGTTGCCCATGCAATATGGGTGACAGAGCTGCAGGACTGCCACAATAGGGTGGCAGACCCCAAGTGATGGGGTCCCCAGCTGGCCCACATCCAAGGGAATCTCTTTTTCCTTCCAGCTAACAAGGTTCAATCAGCTCTGAGTAGCCAGAGCTGTTTTCAGAAGTATCAGGGAAATCTACAAATTTCTCTGCTGCTGTGACCTTCTATCAAAACAGGTATTTTGTAGCAGGACTCCTGGGCAACTGTCTTCCCAAAAGTGTCCAGCACAGAGGCTGTCCCACAGTAAGAACTCAGTAAATGATAGCAGTTGCTGTTAAAACTGGAAAGCCTCACCATTCATTAGCAGGGTGCTGAGGGAAAGGAAGGACCATGTGGACAGGAGGAGGGATGTTCATTCAAGTGGAACTTTGCGATCGTCTCTGGATTCCAATTCTCCATGCCTTCCTCATACCCCGACCTCCAAACCAGTCAAAGAGGCTGGTTCTTAAAAGCTGCCATTTTAGTTATATTTCCTTCAGTGCCCGAAGGCAGTTTTATCTCAAAGGGTCACTCGATTATGTCAAATGATATAGAAAAAAAGGCTCTTGGAAGCTGCTGGAGGATTTGGTTCTAGCCAGCAGGCTTCCTGGTGCCCCCTGACAGCACCTCTACCCTCAGTGGTCTAGAGGCACACGCAGGGTCCGACTCACCCCTGGCCTGGAAGGCAGGAGGGCAAGACGCCAGCCCTCCAAAAGGCAGACAAGTTCCAAATAGGCAGACAAGCAACTTCTCAGTGCAGCCACAGAATAGCATTTAGGTCAAGGGCAGAATGTAGAGCGTGTCTAGTGCTGAGCAGGTGTCTAGGTGTCTGCTTTCCCACCCGTGTGTGTTGTGGCAGGAGGAGGGAGGCAGAGACACTAAGGTTCTATCTTAGGTGCAGCAAAAGTGACGAGGACACCAAGAAACAAGGAGCCAAAGACCCAGGGCAGGTTCCAACTCTGCTGGCCGTGTGCCTGTCACGTGCATAAGGCACCACATCTGCTCTGGGTCGCGATTTTATTTTTCCCAAAATGAGATAGTCTACTTCAGTAAATGTTAGGAACACTCACTAGTATGTATACATATCTAGCTTTAACTTCCATTTATTTGACATTTAGTACGTAGGAGGAACTCAGTGGGGTGGTTATTCTGCACAAATTATCTGATTTGATCCTCTCAACAACTCCGTGAGGGTAGGGCAATACAGATGAGGAAAGTGAGGGTCAGAAAGGCTGAGCCCTGAGCCAAGCCCCACTGCTAGCCTGTGGCAGGGCTGGGTTTTAATGAGGGGCTGTCTTGCTTTGGAACCCCCTTGTCCTTAACTGTTGCATGACATAGGCGCCTAAGAAGCACCAGTCAGTAGTCAGCCCAGACCCATCCCCACCCGCACTTACCAACACCCCCGATCTCTGAGACCACAGACGGGCTGTGAAAGAAGGACAGAGTTTCCCAAAAGGCCACTTCACTTTATTTCCCAGTACCTACGTCTCACAGCATGGTCAGTGGGAAATCTCAGGGTCTTGCCAACTTGCAGGCTTTCCGGATTCTGCACGGCAGCTGGAGCTCCAAAGGCGGTTTCCAGGCATGATGTAGAATCAAAGTCGGTCAGTATTCCTCAGGCCTCTTCCAGAGGCACAGGACAATACGGCAGTTTGCTCCTCTGGCTTGCTGGGCCCATCCCAGGGAAAGGTGAGGAGGAGCTCCAGATAGCTGATGTCTCTTGGTTGAAAGAAGTTGAGTCCTGGGCTTTTGGTCCAATTTAGTCTGGGGCAAGTCAGGCCCTGGGAGACTAAGGAGCAGGCCCAGGCCAGGTCTCTATTCCGCAAAGGAGAATCCCCACCATATTTTGCCAATGCCCACCTTCACTGACTCGGCCTGATAACACACTGGGGTACACAGGAGCACACAACAGAGGTCCTCAGTTCAACTCTGCTGGAAGTCGGCTTGCTGGGAAAGGACGTCCTTCACTTTGTCCACAATAGTGCCCACCTCAGCCATGGCCCCCAGACCTAGGGAGCAAAGTTCTGCTGTGGCCCTGGAGATGTAGGCAGGGGACAATGCCCCACTCCCACCCCACGCAGTGCTCCCCTGAGGTCTCCACCCACAGCCCAGTGCCTGAGAAGGCCAGGGCCTGCATTAGTCAGACCTGCCACACCGTCTGGAACCCGTCTGGGTCAGGCCCCAGGAAGTTTCCACAGCTGTCAGGAGATGTGCATGGACCGTGTATCTAGGATATCATATGCCTTCCATAAACTATCTCATTTAATTCTAACAACTCTGAAGGGAAGGAATTATGATTTCCACCTTCCAGATGAGAAAGCCAGCCTCAGAGGAGCCTGGTTTCTCCTGAGGTCACAACAGGCTGGGATCTGAACCCAGTGCTGACCCTGGGCCATGAGAACAAGAAGTAAACCTGGCCAGATGCCCACCTTGGTCGCCACACACCAGCTTCTTGGCCACACAGGGTATCTCGATATAGCCGAAGGCCTGGAGCTGACCCACCTGCTGCGAGGTGATTGGGTGCTCCCACATGGCGGTGTTCATCGCTGGGCAGAAGAGCAGGGGCTTTCTGCGGTCCCAGGCCCGGATGACACAGGTCTGTGAAGAGGGGAGGGAGGATGACACAGTGCCTGCTGCTCTGCCTGCCAGCCCTTCCCATTCCTACGCACCATCCTCTGGGCCATGACCAGCCTCAGTGTTCGGATAACTGGGGGCTACTGTCTCCAGGGAGCTTACTCAGGTCCCCCAGGGGGCGGGGTTACGTCTCTTCTCCCCTCTCCACCTCCCCACAGGCTCCGGCACAGGGCCCAGAAGGTGCTTTACCAGCCACCTCCAAGCAGACCTCCCCTCCTCCAAGCACCAGGCCTCACAGCCAGCCACACCTCACAGAGAGAAGCAACCCCGGCAGCAGAAGGCCAGCTCTGCAGTCACCCACAAAGCCAAGGGCCAGACGCTCAGCAGGTAGGACCCACGCACCCAAGCACTGACTCTACTTCAAGGCCAATTAAAGCTGACAACAAAAACATCTTACATGTGACAAAGATCCTCTCATGTATATGCTCCATGAACCCCCCACTGCAACCCTGTAAGAAGATGCTGTCCATCTCACAGATGGGGGAGCTGTACTCCCCAGGGGTAAGCAGTTGCTCAAGGTCACACATCCAGACAATGATCCGCAACACGCGATTTGCACAACCTTCACTGCACCTCACAGCCTCACCACCTCCTGACCTCCAGGCCTCCCATGTAGTCACAGATCAGGGCCGCTGTGAAAGGAAGTCCTTAGCACTGTGGGCTTTGAAATCCCATAGACCTGGTTTCAAATCCTGGCTGAGCTAGCTACTATTACTAGCCGTGAGAATTTGGACAAATTAGTTAAAGCCAAGAGTCTGTTTCCTTTTACAAAAGCCCCCCTCACTAGGTATTTGTGAGGACTTGGTGTGAAAATACTTAAAGCTCTTCACACTGAGCCTGGCAAGAAGTACAGGCTCCAAACAGTAGCTCCTGTGAATGTTATGGCACAGGCTCCCTGGGTCCAAGGCTGCCTGCAGACTAAGCAAGCTCTGGGGCCCCCGGAGTACGCGCCTCTGTGCTGACTGCTCCAGGCACCTTCTCCTGCACTGCTGGCCCGTCAGGGAGACAAGCCAACACACCCCCTTCCTAAAGTGGAACCTGTCTGGGAAGAGAGAGGGGGGTGCAGAGAACAATGAAATGAAAAGGCCAAGACCAATGCCACCCTTCTCAGTGCCCCTGCCCTCTCCCGGGGACAGAAAGGAAGCAGGACGGCACACAGCCTCAGGATCTGGCTTTCGCTTTGTGCCAGACACCAGCTTTTGTTTCCCACCAAGACCTCTCAGTTCAGCAACCAGACTATGAGTAGACAGTTTCAGTCATACTTCCTCTTGGCCCTGTGCCACCTGTTGCTTCCGCAGAAGTCATGAGCATACCTAGAAGGGCCCTCTGACTGCATGTGGGGTGGGGTGTGGGCTGGGTTGAGGTTTCTATGTGTCCTCAAAACAAAGCACACTGACCAGAGCAGATACCCAAACCTCCCATGTCCTGTACCTCTCGAGCTCTGCTTTCCTTGTCTCAAAGCTCAGGGCTTCCTGGACAAACCACAGCTCATCTGAACCTTCTGACAAGGGGCACGAAGACGACATTAGTTCCCACGGTGACTTCTGTTTGGCCAGTGCTGTATTCAGCACCTCAGGCTCTGCCCCTGGGAATCTGCTTTGGTGCAGAGATGGCCTGACTCCTGACCAGAGAACCAGCTCCTAGCTAGACGGGTGACCCAGGGAAGTCACCTTCTCTTTTTGGATATGCTTGGCTGTTTAGCACAAAGAACGGGCCAAGGACTGAGGAGGCGCGAAGACAGGTCAGATGTCATGGGCCCAGAGGCCGGTGTGCAGATTCACAACCAGCACACTGCTCTCGCAGCGCCCTAAGTTCTGGTCACTGGAAAGGAAGGCAGGAAGTAGCAGGGCAAGCTTCTTTCCAGGGATATAAAGAGAAAACATCTATTGAGAAAGGACAGAGCCACAGAGCACGGTGACACTTGAAACACTGTAAGATCTGCAATTTCTTAAAATATCTGCCTTTAAGTGAAACCCTTTGAGGAAAATGGGCTGGGAACTGGTCCTGAAATCGTATTCTACTGCTCAGTCAACTCAGGGGAGGGAACACCAAAGACTCCAAGGTGCAGTGGCAGCTCTGAAGAAAAAAGGGAAGCGAACTGTCAGGAGGGAGGACGGAGCCTTTGGAGAGCGGCCCAGATCAGGGCTTCGCTCCTGGAGGCTGGTGTGCTTTGCCACATTGACCAGCTGCTGACCAGCAGTGGGAAGCCTGGAGATTTGGTGACACAGTGCTGGCCACACACAACTGTGACACAACTGAATGAGAGTGGCAGGTTGCAGCTGCTCTGTCAGCCCTGGCACCAGCCCATCTGAGAAGCCTTCTTGATCACACTGCCCCGAGGCTCGCCCATCTCTGCACTCCCCACCCCGCCACTGGTCACGCCATCTTGTGTGCTGCTCCTTCTTCCAAGGATGCTCAAATCACTAGATTCTTCCACGAGTGCCTTAAGGGCCATCAACAAGCATAGGAGGAGACTACCCTATCTAACCCCCCCAAATATTGACTCAGCTTAGTTATTCACTTCTTTACCATATTAAACTCTGAAAAACTCCCGGATGTTTGCTAAAATAAGATGACTAATTACCTCATACATACATTAAGAATTTATTGAACACTTACTATATGCCTAGCACTGTGCAAGGTAGTGACTCTATTGTCAAAAGACTGGCTGGGGTCATTTAAGACTGGGCCACACACGAGAACATACTCTCTTGGATGCACAGGTGACCAAAACCCTCCCCTTCCAGACTGTGAGCTCCCTCTGTCTACATGTTCCCCAGCGCAGGGTCCAGTTCATGGCAGGTAAAAGCTCAATGAACGAGAAAAGGGAAATAAAGCAGAAGGAGGGAGGAGGGAGATCGAGCCTAACTCTTCCCAGGATGATCAAGTACACAAAGGCTCTTAAAGGACAGTAGCTGCCTGGAGGTCTGTCTCCACTCAGCACAGCTGAACTCGTGTTCCTCTCCTCCACTGCGCTCACACTCCTGCCCTGTCTTTCTTCTTGCGTCCCCTCCGAGTTTCCCATGATACACAGGAAACCCACACCTCCACCTGTGGCTAAAGCTACAGTAAAGAAAAAGTGTGTGAGAGACCCATGAGGAAGCAAATTGGGTCCCCATGTGGCTATGCAGAGCCCACTGAGAAGGCAAGCAACAGGGGGCAGCCCACGAACGAAGGACGAAGGGCAGGTGAGAGGCGGACAGCCCCGGAAAGTACATGCGAGTTGAGTCCATTTAGGAGGACCACATCTTCCGCCCACTTGCCAGAGCATGGGTGAGATGGGTGGGGGGCAGGGGACAGCGTTCTGAGCAAACTGGACCACCATAAAGGGATGTCAAGGCAAGAACCTTGTGCAAAGGCGGTCTGTAGCTCAGCAAATCGGGAGCAAGGCCCAGGGAGGGAGGAAGCACAGGGAGTCACTCACGAGCAAATTGTCACAGATGCCACTGGCCACCTTCCCCAGAGTGTTGGCATCAAGAGGAGCCACCAGCAAAAGATCCGCCCACCTCCGCAGGTCAATGTGGAGAACTGGGTCAGATCGGTGCTTCCACATCTGGCAGAGAAAGAAATGGGGTCACTGGGCTGGCCAAGCTCTGTGTGGAGGGAGGGAGATGGGGACAACACAGGTAAAGGACATGACGTCCGGAACCCGAGGAAGACCACCTGAGCAGCCCCTGCCCAAGTCCACGGCCACTCCCTCTCACAGCTAAGGTGGTAACAGCACTAGCAGTAGAGCCAACAGCCTGAGAGAAACCAGGCTTGAGGAAACAAATGCCTCTTGTCTTTCCAAGATATTCCCTTTATGGTTTCATTTTCAAGAGAACGGACATCTGGTAGGGAACTCCTCCCCTGTCTGAGGCGGATGCTTGGGTCGTCCAAGCCAGTGGACAGAAAGAAATGTCTGGGGCGGTAAGAAATGGGGGAGGGGAGGAGTTGCGGAAGACAGATGAATCAAACATGTTCTAGGCTGAGCCCTGGTTGCTGTGGCTCAGTGGATTGAGCTCAGGCCTGCAAACCAAAGGGTTGCTGGTTATTCTCAGTCAGGACACATGCCTGGGTTGCAGGCCAGGTCCCCAGTTGGGAGCTGATAAGAGGCAGCCACACATTGATGTATCTCTTCCCCTCTTTCTCCTTCCCTTCCCCCTCTCTCTAAACATAAATAAATATTTTTTTTTAAAGAGAGATAAAAAGCTTAAAAATTAAGAAAAAAAGTGTTCTAGTCTGAGAAGGTTTAAAAAAGCCTGGCTGGGCACCCCTACGAAGCCCGTACTCAGTATCTGGTGAATCGGCCGGTGCCCACCCTTCTGTAGGAGAGAAGCAGCAGAGCCAGTGGCTTGGGAAATGAGGCACTCTGGACAGCCCTGACACTGGACAGCCCTGACGCTGGCAGCCAGGTGGGCAAGGGTGAGGGGAACAAAGCTCTTCTGTGGTTTCATCAGCCCAGATAAGTACAAGGACACTCAACCTCAGGCACAGAGCCAAAGCCGAGCTCCGCCTGCGGTGGGAGGAGACTACAGGCCTCCCACAGGCCAGAGCTAGCCAGATGTTTTCCTCATCATCCCTGCCCCAAGGGCCCTGACTGCTGACTTGAGCCTGGCCTGTCCGCTCTGGCCAGCAGGACCATGGGCTACAGAAGGACAGTCCTGTTCTGACGGAATGCAGCCCTGGGGCCCCTGGCACTGACCTCCCATTCATCTGCGTCGCTGTAGAGGGTAACAGGAATGTCCTGGGGGCTGTAGAAATGTTTGGCTCTTTCAGTTGTGACCACTGCCACTTCCAGCTGTCACCAAGAAAAAGCGGGGGTGTGAGGGTGGAAGGGAGAAACTGTTACCAGAGCCACTCCTGGAGGCCACGTGGGGCTCGGCCAGGCAAGCGCACTCTTCATAGCTTGGCTACAGAAAGGCCTTCTCATTCCCTGGTGGTTTGCATAGCTATTTCCGCTGTCACCCAAAGGTCAGGTCCCACCAGGTGTGGCTGTCTCACTTCCCTATCTACGGGGTTACAGAGGAATAAATAATGAGTCACCAATTGCCCCATGTTTATTATGCTGCAGGCCCGCCACTCAGGTGGAGTGATGCAAGAGACAGAGCCAGGCAGGAAGGGGACGCAGGACAAGAGGACCCCAGAGGCCACGGCAGGCAGAAGGGGCCATCCCAAGGAGGCTCACAGGTCCTGAGCTCTGGACCACATAAGCCCTGCCCTCTGCAGGCCAAGGCGCTGGGAGCTGGGTCCAGCATGTGGAGACTGCATCCATACGTCAGAGAGGGCAGGCAGAGTCCTGTCTCATGCTCCTAGGGACAAGGACCCATAGGGTCGGGCTGCAGACAGGCTCCGGGAAAACCAAACCCATGTGCCCTACACTGTTCTGTGCCCAAGGGGCCAGAACAAAGTTTACCTTCACACTACTCATTTACTAGATAAGTTAACAATGCAAACAAGGGGGATGGTTAAGGTGCTTAACAGAATGATGACTGTGAAAAACAGCACATGGTAGTGGGAATGGCACTAGACCAGTTAGCTGGCCCGGTAAAGGGCCCAGAAGAGGTGGCTGAAAGGGGAAGGAAATGGGAACTCACCCCTTTGGGGGACATTTATCCAGGAGGGAGAAATGTCATGGGTGACATGGACAGAATCACTGACTAACCAGAGCGGGGGTCATGGGTGGCAGTGTCTGTCGGTTATAAACTTTTCTGAGCAAATATATACAAATAGAAAGATATTCTTGAAAAACTCGAAGCTCTGACACCGCTGGACCCACATTGCTACTGATAATGACTTAGTTACTTGAGTGATGGTGCCTTTTGGGATGGGCTGTGCCTGTGCCCGTTCAACCTCGTCCCCAGCCCTCCCTGCCGTCTCCCCAAGGCCCCCTCTCCTCCTTTCTTCCCTGCCCCTTATAGGATGGTATTCTACACAGCATGTAAGAGCAAGGCAGGAATTAGAAGTCTCAGAAAGGCAGCTTACAAAAGAACTTCAGAAGGTCAGCTGTTTTCAGCTCTACTGGAAAGCGCTTGGACTTGTCCATTCTCCCTCTCACTTCCCCCTAATAATCCGCCATCCTTGGAACTTGCCCCAAACCTCTGAGATCTTTTTTAAAGGTCATTTAAATCAAACTCCCACTGGGCACTGGAGTCCCCTCTAGGACAGCCCTGAACAAGCCTCGTCTAGTTCTGAACAAGATGGCAAACGGACGGGGCTCACGTCCCTCCACTGCACAGCCACGGGACCAACACAGGCGGGGACAGCAGAGGCAGGCAGGGTGGTGCTGAGACTCTGAAGACACAGACAGTGACGGGGGAGGGTGTGGGGCACAGTAAGTCGGAGGTAACTGTAAGAAGAATAGTATTTAACTTTAAAATGAGCAGAGAAAATTCAATCCATACAATACAGGACAGGAAAGGCAAAAAAGAAGCAAAGAACACATGGCAAGTATAAAGCATTAAATAAGACGGCAGAAGTCCTAACAGAATAGTAATTAGAGTACACAGATAATGGGTTACATCAAAATTAACTCCCTGATCAAAATTCAGGAGTTAGATAACTCCCTGATCAAAATTTGGATTCTTGCCCTGGCTGGTATAGCTCAGTGGATTGAGCATGAGCCTGTAAAACAAAGGGTCGCCAGTTTGATTCCCAGTCAGGGCACATGCCTGGGTTGCAGGCCAGGTCCCCAGTAGGGGACACATGAGAGGCAACCACACATTGATGTTTCTCTCCCACTCTTTCTCCTTCCCTTCCCCTCTCTCTAAAAATAAATAAATAAAATAAAATGTTTCTTAAAAATTCATACTCTTATGTTGGAGGGTTTTAAATCCATAAATCACATCAACATGTGTCTAAACAGACACATTTAAAACAACGGGATATGTTTAGGTTAAGTGAAAGAATAAACTTTCAGTTAAATAAGGTGGATTAAACTCCACTCCCTCCCAAAAGCTCAGTGAAATAAGAGTAAAGGGATTTTGTAAATAGCATGAACCACCTAAAACAAAGAGAAGAGGACAAAACCCAAAACTGAACAAAATGCAATTAACATATGTAAACACATTTTTGGAAGATGGAAGTGGAAAGGGGTATTAGCAGATCCAATCAGATCAGATCAGACAAGATCGGGTGCTACTTTGTTTTTCATAAACATGCAGGGAATAAAAAAGAACTCTTGGAAATTAAAACTGTAAACAGTGAAATAAAAAACTCAATATAAGTCACCCTGGCAAATATGGCTCAATTGGTTGGGCGCCACCCTATAAGCCAAAAGGTTGCCGGTTTGATCCCTGGTCAGGACATACACCCGGTTGCAGGTTTGGTCCCCAGTTAGTGTGTATTCAAGAGGCAGCTGATCAATGTTTCTCTCCTTCTTTCTCCATTCCTTCCCTTCTCTCTACAATCAATAAAAGAAAAAGAAAAATCTATATAATTTTAGAAGAAATAACCCAGAAAGTAGAGCAGAAAGATAAAGAGAGAGATACTAGCAGGGAAGATGAAGAAAATCAGATCAACTCCAGGGTCCCATGAGTTCCAGAAGGAGAGAACAGGAAAATAGAAGGGAGAAAACTACAAAAGAAATGAAATGAAATTTCCCAGAACCGAAGAACTCAGAGGTGGGAGACTCTTCTGCCTGCATGAGCCTGAGGGCTCCCAGCGTAAGGCTCAGGGAACCTGGGGCGTCACGGCCCTGGAGCCCCCTGAGCGTCTGACAGTGCCTGCACCCACACCGACTGCTCCTGCTGATGTACGTGTAGTTTGCAATCAGCAAAAATTCAGAAGAGTTCTTCTCACCCATGTTCCTACCAAGCCACAAGCCCTAGACTGTGCCTGCACCATTAACCTTTCTGGTCCCAAATGCAGTTTCTCACTTTTACCTGGTAAAGTCCACCTTTTCAGAGCTGGCCCACTGTTTGCTCAAGCGATGGAGCATTCCTGAGACCTCAATCCTGTTCCGCCTGGCCTGTTCTCAGCCAGCACCACCACCATCGGTACAGCCCTGAGACACAAATTCAAGTAATGAACAGAACGAGATCCAGAGCAGAGCCCTTCCACAAGGTCCACTGGTCGGGGGTGGGCGTGGGGAAGAATCCTTCCCAAGCAGAATCTTTCAGTGGCTACACACATGCAGACAACATCACCAGTGGTCAGGGGAGGTCCTAAGATTACATCAAAACCTCACCTAAATCCAAAAATATTTTGTGTAATACTAAAAAAACCCCCACAAACTAAAACTGATATACCTTGTTCCCAGTGAGCACGGTCAAGCCGAGGGACAACCATTTCCTAAGTGCTAACAGCTTCGTCTGACAGTAATCCGTGGAGCCCACCTCCTTCATCTTTTCGATGAACAGACATTAGTCATCTACAGCCCCCAGCCCCTCTGCTGCCTCCCACACATCCTGCCGGTCACTAACTATAACCTCAGCACCCCAAGAAAGAACTCGCCAAGGCCACGAGATGAATTACTCAACTTGAGGTTCATGTTCCTCCCACCACCATTTGACCTACTTTTTCAAGCTCGAAAGAAAAGACGCAAACAGAACTCAGGTCGCTCTGGCTTCTTTCCGCTCGTCCTTCCATCGTGCCACTGACCTCCGACCGCAGGCGCTGCCTGTCACTCTTGGTCGTCCTGAGATTGACCACAAGCTGCAGCTCACTCTGGACGCTCTGCTGCCTTCATCTTTAATTACATGTCCTTCTTTCCACCTATTTTCCAATTTCCTTCAACAGGGGGTTTCTCATGCACTCATATTAGCTTCTAGTCACTGCCTTATTTCCTCAAGGGTACCACTGTTTTATTTCTAAGAGCTTCCCAGCCGTCTTGAATAATTCGCCACTTAAGAACATCCCAGTTCATCCCTTCTATTCTGAAACCTAGAAAGCTGCTTCCTAAAGACCTAGTTCCCCCCTCACCCTCGCTCCCAAACTGCCTGCCGGGTTTCAAGGTGAAGACTGTGCATGAGGCCAGGCTTCAGAAGCTTTCCTTTGGTGATGGCTGTTTAGGGGCTTCTTCCTCTCTCACTGCTCTACCCTTCCTGTCCCTCTATGGTCCCCTCAGGGTCTCAGGGCCTTCATTCTGCTCCTCCCTGGCCCCTGGAAGGTTCCAACCAGGGGTCCAGGTAGGGCTCCCACCCTGGGCATTAGCCCCTGCCTGAGATCTTCCCCCTAAGCCCCTCCCCCAGTCTCTCAAGTGATCGCTCTCAGGCTACCTTCCCAGGGCACACAGTTGTTAGGGAGTTCCCTGGGGTCACTGTCCTCACCTAAAGAGTAATGTGAAAGGTATGTGATGGCCACATCCTTCCTAGTGTCCCCACCCTGACCCCACTGAAGCAGCTACCTCTCCTTGGAAGTGACCCGGACTTTGGTGCTGTCCTGCAGGCCCAGGCCAGTTTTTCTGGTTTTAGAGGGATGTCACTTGATCTGATTCACCAACTCCATGGCTTTTGTTCTTTCATTTTCATTCACTCTGCCAAAAAGTCCTGGGAGCCAAAGGCTGAGCCCCGAGTTTGTCACATTTAAAAGAAAAAGCAAGTTGTGCTACCTTCTGAGATACTAAACTACTCAAACTATTCACTCATTCATCCTGACCTTTCTCCCGGCCTACCCAAGGAATCCTGGCAGGACAGAAAACTCCTGAGGGCAAGAACTTTCCTTGACTTTCTCTTACACACTCCTGGGCCCCGGTAGAAGCAGGGCTGGGCATTTAAAACAATCTCCCACATACTCCACAGATCCCAAAAGGCGGTTCTGTGCACAGTCCCCCTGGCAAGACCACTGCAACGATCGGAATATCTCTCTGTGTGATGTGGCCAGGGCTTGGCCAGACCCTGTTAGAAGAGCTGCCTACATTTTGCCTAGCATTTATAGTGATGTCTTCCTCAAACCAGTTGGCAAGTCTGGTTTCCTCTTCTTTGCTGAAGAGACATCAGCAATCCCACCTGGAGTTCCTGGAGTCAGGGAGGGGCATGAAAACAGAATCGGGAGTGAGAACTCCTCTTCTACTCTCGGCCTCCGTCCGGCCCGCGCTGTTTCTGGGACAGATTATGAAACCTGTGGCGAAGTACTTCCCTAGCCACCGGATGAGACAAACCCCACAACTTGAACTTCTACCTCTAACCCCATCTCTGGGCTGCTACCCACTATAACCATGAGATAGTAGCACCCCCTCCCCAAGTTATGACAACCAGAAATGTCCTTGGACATTGTCCAATATCCCCTGGAAAGCAAAATCACCTGCTCTACAGAATTACGTAACAAAACTCTCTCGGGAAGCTACACAACAAAACAAACAAACAAGCAAAATATAACCAAAGACACTGAAATAGAGAACAGGTGGACAGTGACCAGAAGGGAGAGGGGAGGGAATTTCAGGGGAAAAGGGGGAAGGATTCACAGGAACAAGTATAAAGGACACATGGACAACAACTAAGGGAGGTGGAAAGGGGAGGGAGGTGGGGGGGAATGGGGGGGATGGGATGGGAGTAAAAGACAGAAAACTGTACTTGAACAACAATTAAATAAATTTTTTAGAAAGATTAAAAACAAAAACAAAACTCCCTGAAGAGATGAAAATGTGTTACATCTGAGCCGCCCCCTACGGCAGCCATGCTCCACATGTGGCTACTGAGCCACACCTGAGGTGTGAGTAGTGCGATCACAGAACTGAATTTTGGTTTCACTTCATTTTAATAATTTAAATTTAAATTTGAATATGGCTAATGGCTACCGCATTAAATAGCACTGCTCTGGCACATACAAGTGAAGAAAGCCCCCATGGAAGCGCCAGCTGAGTAGCTGGAAGACAGCAACTATTTCTTGTAAAGTGTATGATGAAGGCGGCACGGACTGATGAGGGTCCTGGAGGAAGCCCCAGCTACGACCTCACCTGCCACACACAGCAGTGGCTCCTGACACCGGGCTGACCAACCGTGACACTGGCAGTGCCCAGGGCCTGGGGCCCAGCCAAGAGGCTGACACGAAGCTGAGCGTGGGCTGCTGGGGGGAGGTACACTCTAGGAAAAAGGAGCCTTGGTGCCTAGGACAGTGGCGCGTGGCGAGGGAAGCTGTGGAGGAGGCAGCAATCATTAACAGAAGCCCTGAAGGGTTTCCGATGGACTGACTGGGTGTCCCAATGGTTCAGAATGATGTCTCAACGGGAGAACATTGACTAAGCACACAGGGGCCAGAGCTGCTAAGAGATAGGCTCTGCCCTTAGTAAGGGCTCAGTTTAACAGATGGGTGGATATATATATCCCTGACCACAAAGCAAGACAGGCCAGGCAAGAATCCACGAGTTTCTGGAGAGTCTCGTCCTCACAGCTGTGGTTAGCTCGAGCAGAGAAGGGAATGCCCAGCCTCGAGACATGAGCTCCTCACTGAGAGGAGGCAAGAAACCTTGCCTTGAGCCCCAGTTCTGCCAACTCACTAGCTGGGGAATCTCGAGCAAATCCCCCTTCCTCTCTAGCCCCAGTTTGCCCCTCTGAGCCATGAGCCATTCGGACCACATGGCCGCCAGTGGCCCATCCAGCCCACTGTGTCATTCCAACCCTCCTGTGACCCTTGCTGTTTCTCATCAGGCTCTCCCTCCAAACGCGCCTCCTGGGGGAGCTGGGGTTCTGGCTGCATCAGCCTTCCCAGCCACTCAGGCAGGACCAAGCTGCCAATCCCGCTGTGCCCTTCCCCGGCAAGAGAAAACTCCTAACAATGAAACCAGAGAGACAGACTGCACAGGCTCTCTGTGGGGACTTTGTTCTGGGGCATCAAGGAAGGCCTCTGACGTCAGGACCCCTTGGCCCGGTGCTGGCTGCCCCTGACCAGCTGGCTGAAGAGTTCATTTCCTAGAGGTACAGGCCAAGGAGGAAGGGGCCAGCCTAGCCAACGCAGCCTTGTGTAACTTGCAGCACAACAGACGAACGGACCAGTTTCCACAGCACGAGCATGGAGGAGGCAGGTGGCCCCTGCCTGGAAAGAAAGGAAAACCTCAAACCGGGCCTTGTTCCTCCTACTTGCCTTTCTTCGGTGAACATTTAAAAAAACCCACAACACAAAGTTACAAATAATGTTCCGGAACGCTCCCACCAAAAGCCCCAACTGACTTTAAAAACAAAGTAGACATACATAGAGGGAAGAAAATGAAAACTGAACAGAATGATACACAATGAAAAACGCAAGGCTCCCTTCCTGCCCCCATCTCTCTACCAGGGTAACCACCTCCAGGGGGAAATCTTCAGGCAGTGACTCAGACGTGAACATAGGAAGGCATCGTGCTACATGCATGGGGTGGCAAACTTTTTCTATAAAGAGCCAGGTACTATTTTAGACTTTGTCACAACTACTCAACTCTGTGGCAGTGAGACCGTAGTCACTGGCAACACATAAATGAGTGAACGTGACTGTTTCAATAAAACATTACGGACCCTGAAATCTGAATTTCATATACTTTTGTGTGTCTTCTTTTGATTTTTCTGGTTAACCCTTTAAAAATGTAAAAACTACACTTAGCTCACAGGCCATCAACAAGGGGCCACAAGAGCACATCTGGCCGGCGGGCCCGAGTGTGCTAAATGCCGCACCTCGCTCACTCACGCACATCTTAAGGGCTGTCCCACATGGGCAGAGATCCAGCCACTCGTTCTTCTGAACCATCGCCACAGGACCCACTGAGAGGCCAGACCATCGCTGCACAACCCCTCGCTATTGTTGGACACTTTGTTTCCTGTCTTGTTTTGGTTTGAAATTATAAACAATGCTATAATCAATATCCTTCTACATCTAAATGTTTATAAATATACTACACAGGGTTCGGTCCTATAGGTGAATCAAGGGCTGTCAACATTTGTAATTTCTTTAGTAGATAATGCCAAATAGTCCTCCAGAAAAGCAGAAATCACTTCATACTACATAGCAGTAAAGCACTGTTTCCCTCATCCTGGTGGCTCCGAATGTCATGATGGGCATTCTGGAAATGTATCCTGCTCTAAACCCAGAGATTGCCAGCTCCCTCCATGGGGGGTTTTCTCTACCTTTAGAAATCCCCTTCTGGCCCTGGCTGGTGTAGCTCAGTGGATTGAGTGCGGGCCTGCAAACTAAGGGATCGTGGTTCAATTGCCAGTCAGGGCACATGCCTGGGTTGCAGGCCAGTCCCCAGCGGGGGACTCACAAGAGGCAACCATACATTGATATTTCTTTCCTTCTCTCCTTCCCTTCCTCTCTAAAGATAAGTAAATAAAATCTTAAAAGAAAGAAAAGAAAAAAGAAATCCCCTTCTGGCCCTCAGCCCTGCTGACGACAACCTTGGCAAAGCTAGAGATGTCTGTCTTCTCCTCCCAAGTGAGAAAAGTGCCAACCGAAGGGCTCAGACCCGGTTACGCGACAACTATGGAACCGCAAAACTCCCTGAAGCTCCTTCCCTCCAGGACCTTCTCTCGGGCTGCCTTTGGGTCCTAGCTCTTTGTGCCCTCACATCTAGAATCTTCTACCACTAGTGTCAGAGAGGTCTTAGAAATAAGTCACTTTGAGTACCTTCTTTCCATTCACTAAATGGATAAGAAAGCTGAGGCCATAAATAAGAACTGACTTGCCCAAGGTCCCAGGGTGAGAAACCCTCTGTGCTCAGCTGCCTCTCTCGAGGCAGGGCTGGCCCCTGCTGTCCAACTTCCCCCATCTTGCATAAAGGCTCCAAGGCTTTTTTACGAGTTGTACTCCTCCCAACTGCTGGTGTGTGAGTCTTGAGGCCAAATCTACCTCTCTCTGTCACCCCCTCACAAATCTCCATGGTCTGGCTCTAGCTCAGTAGCTCTGCTGGGATGCCTGGATGCAGGTGAATTAGGACTAATTACGAACCAGGTGTGCATAATCACGCAACTCTCTGCAGCCCACACCAGTTTCTTGTTTGCTGGTCCAAACCCAGGTCTACCAAAGGGAGCCTTGGCATGTGAACCCACGACTTAGCCAAAGAGCTGAGAAGGACTGCTTCAAGGGACAAGGACTGCTCCTGGTGGGGTGATGCAGAAATGGGGAGATCAGTGCCACCAGGAAGTGTGGAAAAGTCCTGGGGGGAAGGTCACTAACTCCAGGCCAACAAGGGGCAGGCCAGGGGTCCCCCTTACTTATTAACACCTCTCAAGGGCCCCAGCAAGCAAACCCAGGCTTTTTGAGGAGCTGTCGACCTACATGAATGTGGGTCCCCCACGTGAGCAGGTGGACTGTGGCTCCCGTGACCCTTCCCACGGGAGCTGTCTCGCCAACCCCAACACCCACCCCACACGGCTGGCCCAAGGGTCGTGACAAGGGGAAAGAGGGTGAAAGACAGGAAACAAACACCGTTAAGTGCTTCCATGTGCCAAAAGTTGTGCCTAGTTTTTGACACAGCATGGCAGGCTGTTTCATCTGTGTCCCCTCCCTCAGCCCTGAGAAGAGCCCAAGGGAACAGGTGGGCGTAGTCATCCTATTTTAAACCAGAACAAGCAGGCTCTCAGAGGCTAAGTCAGGACACTCCTTCTCCCAGGTCAGTGCCTTTCTGGCTACTGGATTTTCCACTTCAACTCCAGCCAGAGAAGAACCGAGTCCTGTTCCAGGCTTTTTAGTCTGCCCCTCAGGAGACCAGGCTAAAAATCCTGGAGTGGCCACCCTTTCCTCACACCCTCATAAACGTGGCCGCGTGGGATGGCAGGAAGCCTGGAGCTGCCATTTCCCAGCTCTGAAGCTGCCCATCTGTTTCCTGGGATAGGACTCCCCTCCCCCACCCACCCACAGTCCGGAAGTTCACTTGCTCTGGGGCTATGGGAAAAGGGAACTGCGTGACTCTCT